ACACACACACACACACACACACACACACACACACACACACCCAGTCTGTCTAAGCCCATTGTTCTGATGGATCGAATGTGTCTGACTTTTTCTCATCCGGTCATCTCGCTCACGTGACTGAGCAAGATACTGTGTATGTGTGTGTAGTCGCCACGGTATGCCAACAACGCAGATGGGCGGATTATCGGTTGAGTACACTCGACCAGGCACGAAATCCGAAAGAATAATCGTTTCCAATGATTGAATTGTTTTTCTATTTTTCAAGCATTCCATTCTGTCCCACCGGGGAGAAAGAGCAAGAGAGAGAGAGAGTGCTCGAAGACACAAGGTCGGGACTGTATGCATTCCGGAATGAGATTGAATGGAGTAACCTGTCAACTGAATCGATCGATTAGGTACCCCCGTGCGCGTGTGGACTGGAAGAAAATTGCCAGTGATGTGTAAAATACGGGTACCCTGAATGACTTGGTAGTACAATTTGGACGACCCGTGTAAATGTGGTTGCATTCCTCGGACGATCAATTTCTCATCACACCAGTAGTGCAATGAGGGATAGGTACACATCATGTCAATGTGGTGTTTCACACTCTGGCATTGTGCTTTCCACTCGGAACTACGAATTTCTTGGGTGTGCATTTCATGGAAAGCAGTTGTATTCACTTCTAATCTAAAGCATCGCATGTCCGCATCAAATGGGGCTAAAAGTCACGTGATCGGATTCCATCATGACTGTTCAATGTATCGGGTATTACATTGATTGACTACAGTCTCCATCCTGGAAACCGGAATGTTCAGATAGTAATTGAACATCACAGCGATTGTTTGATTGTCTGTTAAATAAGTACAATCAGTAGTATATGGATGACTCGAAAAAATCTCCCGGGAAGCACACGACCGTTTTCGTGGTTTTTGCCGCTCATCAGCTATACGTACTCTCTTGTCCCTTCACTTATACACACGTACCCAGGAAGTCTATTTTCGTCGCAATAACCTCATTTTCAGCACCGGGTAATTTTTTCGGACAGGTCTTTCAGAACCGGTCCATTTATGAATCAATACTATAATTCTGTGTTTGTAGGTGGGTTAGATGCTACAAACTGCAACAAAAGTGACTTGGGCGTCTTTATTGGAAATTTTAAAATAAGTAGTATGTGTATTGCAAATCTCCATTGAATTTAATACTTGTGCCAAGTGTGATCAACGAAAGGTACGCTGTTCAATAAAAACGGGTTAAAGACAATATTCGTAATGAAGCAACAAGCATACGTGATAAAAATACACAACTGATTCATGCTATTCATACAGTTCAGTTTCACTTTGAACAACCAATAACCATGCACTTTTGTGCGCTGGTTTTGGCGGCTGCCTTTTGGCTGCATATTTGGATGAACAATAAGAGAAAGATGAGAAGGTTGAAAATGGAATCAAACAGAAAGTTGGAAATTTCAGTGGACTAATGTTGCAAACAAATTGCGAAAATGCACGAACGCCACTGTTTACGACACTCAGACATATCAATCAGTGTCTCTAACCATCGTTTACCCTTATGCCAGGTTTTAGGTTGACCACCCTTAATTTTATTCCACCCACTACCTACCTCGGTAAACATCACTCGCCGTGGCAATCTATATCTGGTGACATGTGTAACACATGCCCTAACCAACGTACTCTATGGAGGTTCACCACCGCGATTACCTAAAACTCTTCGCCTAACCTCAGCATTGCTCGTCCGGCTACCCCACCAGATTCGTGCAATGCTGCGTACACAGCAGTGTTCAAACACCGACAGTCTATCTTTATCCTGTTTTCTTATTAGCTAGGTTCCTACACCGTATAGCAGAACTGGCCGCACTGCTGCGGTATACAATCGACCCTTCACAGACAACCGGACAGCGCGACGGCACTGCAGATGTTTGAAGTTGGCAAATGCCAACCAAGCTTTCTGTATGCGAGCAGACACTTCATCCGTGATGGGTCCACCGGGCGAGATGAAGCTGCTCAAGAAACTCTCTATTGCTTCTCCAGTTAGAGTGAGGCTGGATGCTGGACTAACCCAGTCTTGTATCAACATTTGACACTTTGAAGGTACAAAACGCCCACATCATTCATATTTGACCTGATCCAGTACACTTAGTTACGGTGATCCAGGCCTACCCTGGAGCTGCGAGTTACAGTTTCTGGACGTTTGCGATCAATAACATTTGAAAGATGACGTCAATGACATGCGTATGGCTTCTGAATACACGTCATTGGTGGATCATATCAGCCAATCCGAGACAGTGCAGACAGAAGCAGAATTATGCAAGCAGTATTGCAACCCGATTGGTGGAAGTCTAGATAATCAGTAATCTTCTTTTGTACATATTATTTCTTCACCTTCATTTATTCAAATAAACTAACTACGTACTACCATTCCTGTGGCTTTTTCCTCGCGTCTCGTTTACCTGGGATATTGCGAGCTAGTGCCACTGCGGTCCAGTGCTTCCGTAATCCAGTCCGTGACAGCTAATCGTTGATTCGTGTCCGGTGATTCCTATTGCGTGGTTTGTATTCCGAATTCCGTTCGTATAACTACTACCACTACAATCATCACATTACGGCAGTAAAGAATCCTTTTCTTCCTTTTCAGGAATCCACTGATACAAAACTACTATTTCTAAGAAAGAACAAGCGGTTCCTTCAATGTTTCTTCAGGGACCGGAAGAAGTAGAGAAATTCGCATACCGGTGTTGTTGGAAATAACTGAACGGAAGGTACTACCTGATCGTGTCTCTCTAATGTAGCTGACGAATCGTGATATAACTTGATTACCTCACTCCACGGAAGATTTTATCTACTTCGTTGACCTTGGTGCTCGTTTGGTCTCTGTCTACTATTCTCTGTGCAGGAGCATCTTAGTTGGTGGCCTGGTGGTTACGTCACCAATTAATGACCACGGAGGACGTGCGTTCGAATCCCACCATTACTGCCCGTCCTTCTCCATTATGTGTGTTGTATGAGAGCTCTTTGATTGGCCGCTTCCCCCTTCCTGAAAATTGAATTCCTTTGTATACTCAATAAAAGGAAGTAAATGAAAAGAAGTGAAAGTGGAATTCGATGCGTCCGCACAACTCAATGGTCCAGCCTCAACTACCCTGTGAACCGTTCGTTCAGACAACTGAACTGGGAGTAAAATGGATAAAATGAATCGTGATTTTCAGTTTAATTCCCTCCCCCCTCCGGTAATCATCGGAGAGGTGCTCGCGCATCCCATCTGATTTTGTGCATAGTTAATTTATCGGGCATTCCCCACTTGTACCTCGGTGTTGTTCTCCACTCTTCCTCGCATCCATTTACTCCCGCGCATCTGAATTGATCGAGTAAGTGCGAGTTGAAATTGCGGAATCGAAACCGAGTTATCTCTCCCATTTCATCTGTACAAACCACGGGGTTTCAGTAATTAAGATTTAACCACAGATTGGGTCTTGTTGTGGTTCTTGAGAAGTTGAGATCAGCATTACGTGGGCTATGTGACCTAAATTGATTGGATTGGTGGATTACACCAGTTCCTGGTGGTCCGAAATCGGAACAGCCAATGCAGTCAGGTCTGTCGTCATCCGTGTTAACAACCCCCTTTGGAATTGAGTGTTAGTGTCTCATCAGATCTCCTGCTTCTGTGTTGCAGAGTGGTAGTGGTGTAGTGGCTTATTCGCAGTCACTGGCATGCTTTAGACCATATGGTCCGAGGTTCGAGCCACCCAACGCCACCCACCTTTGGTGATAGGCAGTTTTGCTGTCGTCCGGTTCAATATCACACTTAACCTAGCGGGGCCTTATGTGGTTCACCACTCTAGGTCTCGGGGCTTAGGTTACCGGTTTCCATGATGGAGCAGCAGGTCTTGGTGACCATGGGTTTCGCCTCGTCTGCTGTTCACCACAGAAATGTTGCGAACCTCCGAAAACCAGTCTTTCACCGACTCCTCTCTCTCATGAGCCTGTGCTACCCGTTCCGCAGCAGATCATCTCGCGNTCTCGCGTCGGTGAGATTCCTAGGTATTTACATTACACATTTATATGTGTTTGTGTGGGGGGGAACGTATTCTGGCTCATACATATTACTATCGATGTCACTTAGCCGCCAAAACTCCAGAGTCATCACATTTACCCGATTGAGGCCTTATGCGATTGGCCACTTCAACTCCGGGGGTCTGGGTAGTCATCTTTGGTGTGTACGTGTATATCAAAGAAACGGATTATCCCAAAAGGATAGACGAATCCCGCAACAAACGAGTGATCTCCCTAATTGTCGTGGGCTGCGCACTGTATCTGTCGGTGCAACTAACTCATTAAATCGTAGACTGATGTTTTAGAATTTCAGAAGGCGATCATTATTCCAAATTCAACATTCTTATGTGGATTAAACGGAGTGAAACTGACCCCGGGGTTTGTAATAAACCAATAAACGTATGCAACTTTGGGCACAAATGGAACGATTAGGATATATATGATTTACAGTGTCAGTATTACCGCAATTGTTCACAACACCGATAATTTAAAAATTGAAACAAATGCTGCAATTTCGGTGTGATGAAGCTCTCATTCATATACGGGTTTTGTCGGGATGGATGGGGTTTTTGTGTGCTGGTAAGAGTGTGGAGATGACTATGCGATTAAGATTCCATCGGTTGTGGCCTGTTGTAACAGTTCCCGCATTCGTCGTTCGTTTTGCCTCTGTGTTTGTTCAAAATCTGTATCCTTTAATTTTCGTGCTTGATCAACCAGTGGTTCTACGAACTGCGGATCCTTGGCCGGATCGTCATTTTCCGACTTCAGTATTCCCATGGGGAACGGTATAGAGACCTGAAAGAATTTCAAAAATTGGTGAACACAAGTGCCTACTACCAAATTATAAGTAGCACAAAGTGATAAGAATAACTACAGCGAATAAATAAATTGATGTGCATGTGGGCAAGGGAATAAATAAAACGGGACCGAAAATCTATTCCTTGCAGTTAGGGTATGTGAAATAAAAGGGGGTCGGTATAAACAGTTTTATCCAAAAATAGTATTTCTTCCTCGAATTCGTCGGTTATTGACATATTCCAAAGATAAACAGACAAACGGTTCTTCCTGATCCGTAGAGCTGTTCATCAAAATGGGTTTTCAACCAAAAAGTGACTGAGATTTTATCCGACTTGGTTAAATGCCCTCAAAACAATCAATACCAGTCCGACAACGACAACGACGACAACGAAAACAACAACAACAACAACAACAACAACAACAAAACACAATTCTGTGAAATTATCAAAAACGATAATATTAAATTCTGCAAATTGTTTAACGTAGAACAAAATGGTCGTGAGCGAGACTAGCAAACTAACAGTAAAAAAGATTGTCACAGCAGCAGCAGCAGCAGCAGCAGCAGCAAAGAAAATTGTTATCTTATTCAAGGGTCTATTTGTGATCTTATTTAGCAGCACAAATGCTATGAAGGACTCAGTCAAACAACCACGAATTCATAAAAGCCAAAAATGGAAATATTTACAGTCAATCTCGTGCTATGAACCTTAAAAAGTGGGTAAAATCCAGGAACTGGGACATAGCAAATCAGTCAATAATAGATGCTATTAAGTAGTATGAAAAATCAGTTGAGAGTTCTCTGGCAAAATAAACGAGATAGATGAAAAGTACGCTAATTCCGTTACTTTTTCCCAATGTTTGTACTCATGTACTGTTTAGTTATAATGGAATTTAAATATAATGTCCGATGTATTCTTTATGTATCGATTAAATCGAGATCTTTTACGATGTCCTCAGCTTAATATTAGTACATTGCATCCAGTATTTAGCCCAGTATTCAGTTTCAACTGTCTAGTTACCCTGAAACTGCCTAACTTTCTTTGTGGGGAAATTTTTACAGCCCAGTTGCCGCATATTAATTCCAGATATTCCTCCTTTCCTTTGTAACCACATAATTAAGCATAGATGTTCATCATAATCTACACCTGTTTTAGCCATCCTGATCACAACATGCCTATTAATCCACTCGATGAAAACAAGAATAAACCTTGTCGAGCACAGCGACAACACGGGACAAAAACTTCGCATTCGAAGGGAATCACGTAATCCAAAATAAGTAAAATATCTGTTAAGGGCTTTACTCGGTACATTGACTTCTTTCTTATATTACAAACTAATTCGTTGTGTAATCTATTCATTATTTTCTGTGAAAAATGTGTACCATTAGCGTCTGTAGACATCTATTCGTTCGTTCACTTTTATTGTTTCCACTGCATGTTCAAACCGATCGATACATTCGTTATGGCCAGTGCTGATAAACAACATAAGTGACAGAAGTTCAACACGTGATGCCGTGATTAACAAATTAAAAGTGCACCGATCAAACAGTCAAAAGCGCGTTAGACCCGGGTTGAGGTAACCTCCGACCAGTGACCTATCCAAGTTCATCGGTGCTCTAGCAAGAACAATTGCGATTATCATTCATTCATTCACAGGATCATCCGTGTGACGATGATCGATCACCGGGATCTGATATCTTAGTCCACACACTAGCTTACTAGTCGATCGTGATAATCGTCCACTTGCGACGGCCGAATGGCTATGGCTTTGGTGACCACAGCAACAAAAATGATCACACTCGAGTGCCCCATAGAATTGCGAAAAAATGTTTGTAGATTACAAAGATGTATTTTTAGCAAAATTATAAATCATCATTTGTCTCAGCTTGGCTCTCCGGTGGAAATCAACAAGAGCCCTGTTTAAGTCAACTGCACACTCTAGTAATCGACCAGAAATCCCAGCATTATCCAAGGTAAATAGCTTCAATTTATCCAGTGCTTCTAAATAACCCACTTCTTCATCAAATTCTAAACAGGCTATTTCTTCTTCAAAAAGACGTTCATCAGTATATACATAGTGAGTAAAGTCTTCAATCAGATCTCATTTATCCTCTGCTGACTGCATCATCGGCTGAGTCAATGTGGGTTTGAACCCAACTTGTATAAAAGCGTTGATCAGTACATACGGATGCAAACACACCCAGGCTTTCTTGACCAGATGCATGCCCACTTCGGATTTCATGCTAGGTTGAGCATCTTGGAACAAAGACAAAACATATTCCAGTGAATGTTTCCGAAACGAACATTTGAAAGACCAAAGCACACCCTGATCCATTGGTTGTGAAATTGAAAAACAGTTCGAAGGCGACCGTACTAAGTTGACATTGGAGAATGATGCGGCTCTGTAAACAGTAAAATAGAGCGTCTTTGAAAAACCATCTTGCGATTGACATCGGACAGCCGACTGTGAAATAACGCCGAAGTCATCCATGGGTTCTTTGAAGATTTATGACTGCACGGAAGGCTCTTTCGATCTATACCTCGGAGATATCGTGAAGTTTGAAATTTTCCAATAATCAACGGGTATAACTTTTCTCCAGTCATGCTACCACAAAACAGTAACGTGACTCTTTCTGTGGATTTCTTGGATCCATATACTGTTTTTCCTTTGAGACTAGATTTTCTTTCTGGGAGTCGCTTGTAATGCAAAGCGGTTTCATCTGCATTGAAAATATCACAGTCCACATATCCACATATCCATTGATCAAGTTCAGTAATCCCATTTGAAACTGGTTCACTGCATTTCGTCGCACCGCTACACTTTACTCACAAATATATAAAGTAATGCGCATGAATTGCTCGTTTCTTACTCTGTACGATTGAAAACCACATCTGTCTGACCAAGAGCGAAACCAACTTTTGGAAGCTTTGAAGTCATGATGATGGATTCTTTGTGCTAGCTAGATCACCTTCTTACAAAAGGTGCTCTCCACCATGGGGAACTCTTCCCTCATAGCAGTTAACCAAGCCAAGGTTGCCTCATTCACTGCCTTGAACTTTTCGTTGGTTTTTAGGTGGCATCTTTTCACAGATGCTCCAACATACAAATTATCCGACAATGGTTTGATGGGATATAACATTGCATACAGTTTTTCTTGAAATACTAAGTGATTTGGCTACGGAGCTCTGAGTTACACCTGGCTGATTCAGCACTTAAACATATTCCGATCGATAGACGCTAGCACATTTTGAAGTCAAGTGACATTGTCTTCGATTGTTGGCATCAATATGTCTTCTTCCCAAAGATTATCCAATCAGTGAACAGTATCATCTTCGGATCACATTGAGTGAAACGCTATTGACTGAGTGCGACATTGCAGGCTGGCTGATCAATGGCCGTCCCGAACATCGGTCAACGACCAAATGCGTAGGTATTAGGAACTGCGACATATTGAGGAGGGGCGACAGTGCATAAACTACGCTATTACGCATACGGTTGGTTTGGGTTTTCCAAAAAGTGGAAAGATCAATATCTTCCCATAGCAGGAGATTGACTGTAATGTATTTGAAAACAAACAAACAAACACAATTTGTAGCTTTTCCCTCAAACAAACACAAATATCACATTATTGATTTGCACAGATGTAATTCTTTTTATATTACTGTTCATAAATTTTGTTTAAGTAATGCATTCTTCCGCGATAGATCATCAACAGAGTAGGGGCGAGATTGTTCCGGCAGTTATGCAAATAAGCCTTTCCAGAGATCAATTTCAAAAGAAAAGACCATATTGCAATACTGCACGATTTATGTCCAGGACGATTTCGCTGCATCTCAACATGATGCATACTGCAGAAAATACAATGTTTATATAGGACTTTAGAATAGCAACATAGTAAAGCAAAATACATTAAAAACAGACAAAACATAAAAGAGAGAGGGGTTGGGAGAGACTAACATAAAGTTCTTTTTGCTGACACAAGAGAGGGGGCTTTCATCGATTAATCGCAATCGCTTCAGCAAACCTTAGCAATCTTGCGACTTGTGACTTGTAGACAATTTGAAACGCTGTGCCTCGGTCGACTTGGTGTTGCGTCATCAGCAGATTTCAAGCAACTGCTGAGGACGGGGTCTTGTAGTTTCGACCGTCGTTTCTATGCAGCGGAC